GCCAAAAGGACCTTGCTAGAGGATGAAGTGGTAACCGCGGCATCTTACCTAGAGGGTAAGGCAGCCAAATGGTTAGATGGGGTAGTTGTGAAAGCCGGGTACGGGCGACGCATGGCGGACTGGGYCAAGTCTTTGACTCTAKACCAGTTCATGGAGATGGTAGAAGCTCGATGGCATAACCCACAGGAGGCGCAAAGGGCCACTGATGCCATAAATAAACTAGACCAGCACAAGTTCCGGTCAGTTAGAGAGCTTACGACTACCGTTGAGAGCCTGATCCTTGTCCCGGGCATCAACTACAGTGACCATTTCCTGTTAACTACTTTCATTAGATGTCTTCCAGAGAACATCAGGAACTTACTAGCCAATGAGGCATGCACCGAGTACCACTCATTTGGGACATTGTCTAGGAAGGCTTTAGATTTGGAGGCCACGCTAGACAATGCTCAACCCACCTCAGGAAATGACTCAAAGAAGAAGAAGAGTCCTCTGGAGTGGAAGAAGAAGGGGGCGAAGTTAATGATGGTGGAGTCTGATGGGACTCAAACAGAGATCGATGAGCTCTCTGACCTGGTGGACTACACAAAGTTTGACGGCGAGGAGATAGCTGAGGGTAGCACCCTCGCCGCGGTAGTAAGGACTAAGGCAGGTGGCCGAGGGAAGGGCCAACCTAGGAGTCAAGGGAAGGCCGCCTCAAATCAGACCAAACAGGCTGAGTGGGTTAAGGCAGGTCTTGATCAAGACGTGTGGCGTGACCGCCGAATGCGTGGCACTTGTATCAACTGCGGAGAATACGGACACACGCAGTGGAAGTGCCAGAACGCTAAGGTTAYGCAAAAGATTGCTCCAAAGATGGGGGCATCTTATTCCCAGGCTTCTAGCTCGGGAAACGAGTAGGGCCAGTGGAAGTAGTAGCGGCTTCTACTCAAGATGAAGTGAGCAAGATACCCTCCTCACTTCATGACAAGGCCGAAGCTAATGACTCCTTAGTCACCCCGCAGACGCATCTAGACCAAACTATGCTCTGTACGTTAGATGTGTCTGAGGCCTTAGAAGACTTACAAGGCGAGTGGTCAAAGAAGGACCCCCGCGAGTCTTGGGTGGCGCTAAAGAAGGGTCCTAGAGGGGAACATTTCGTAGTGGAGGTGGACGTAGGAGGCCACAAATGTGGTGCCTTCATAGACAACGGATCCACGTGGAATTACATAAGTCGCGATTGTTTGGAAAGGCTGCACCTACAGGACCGGGCACGGCACCTTAGTAGACCAGTAGCATCTACTTTGGCCAACAAAGAGCGCATGATTGTCACAGACTACATCAAGGACGTAGTCTGTACCTTCTCCTATGGAGGAGGTGAGCTTAACCATAAGATCTCGTTCTTGGTTAGCGACGACATTCGATATACTGTTAGGCATGTACTACCTCGAAGTTGCTAAGCCCCAGTTCGACTGGGATAAGAAGGTGCTCAAACACAAGTTGCCCGATGGCCGAACTGTCAGATTGACCAAGTTCAAGGCCAGTAGCATTATAGATACCTATGGCTGCTTGTGCGCATCCGCGTTCTACAACTATTACAAGCAAAATGAAGAGGAGGGTACGTACCTAATTTATGTCTCTGCGAAGGGGGAGGCCGTCAAAACACCCCCAGAGATAGAACGCGTCGTTGCTAAGTTCCCTGATCTGTTCGAGGAGCCCACAAGAGTTGTTGATAGGGAAGTCGTCCACGCTATAGAAATCATTCCACGGAGTAAGACCCCAAAGGGAAGGATCTATAGGATGGCCCCTCCCGAGTTAGATGAACTTCGGAAACAACTAAAGGAGCTGACAGAGAAGGGATGGATTCGGCCTAGTACTTCCCCTTACGGATCACCTGTGCTATTTGTACCGAAGAAGGGGGGTACTTTGAGGATGTGCATTGCCTATAGAGGCCTCAATGCCATCACTGTGAAGAACGCAGAGCCTCTACCTCGCATAGACGACCTATTGGATAGGGTGCAAGGATGCAAGTACTATACTAAGATAGACTTGAAATCCGGATATCATCAGATCGTAATAAGACCTGAGGACCAACACAAGACAACATTTCAGACTAGATATGGTATGTATGAGTTTGTAGTGATACCTTTTGGTCTTTGCAATGCGCCGGGTACATTCCAGCACGCTATGAATCGGATCTTCCATGACCATTTAGATAAGTTTGTCGTGGTTTACCTAGACGATATTCTGATCTTTAGTAAGTCTGCCGAGGAGCATGCACAGCATGTTGAGACGGTACTCTCACTCCTTCGACAACACAAGTATAAGGTCAACTTAGAGAAGTGTGAATTCGGTCGCACTAAGATACTATACTTGGGTCATGAAGTATCCGCGGAGGGAATTAGGACGGAAGATGCGAAGGTGGCTAGTATTCGAGACTGGCCACGACCTCAGACAGTCACTGAGGTCAGATMWTTCTTAGGAATGTGCGGCTACTATAGGAACTTCRTAAAGAACTATTCTACAGTCGCCTCTCCTTTGACAGATCTAACTCGACTTGACACGCCGTGGGACTGGAGTGATGAGTGCGAAGATGCTTTCAAGCGATTGAAGCATGCACTCATGAATCATGAAGTTCTCATGGTTCCCGATCCGCAGAAGCCGTTCATAGTAACCATTGACGCAAGTCAATACGGCATTGGCGCAGTGCTGGCTCAACAGGATGGGAAAAAGTTGAGACCGATTGAGTACATGAGTAAGAAGATGCCATCGAAGAAGTTGGCTAAGTCCACCTACGAAAGGGAACTCTATGCTCTCTACAAGGCACTTGTCCGTTGGAGACGCTTCCTTTTGGGAAGGTTCTTCTATCTGAGGACTGATCATCAGACCCTCAAATGGATCAAGACTCAACCGGCTCTTTCTGATGCACTCAAGCGATGGATTGAGGTCATAGACCAATATGACTTCAAGCTTGAGTACCTGAAGGGAGAGTACAACAAGGTTGCAGACGCGTTATCCCGTAGAGCAGACTACCTAGGTGCGCTAGTTTCTGACTTTGGCGTATCTGAAGAAGTAACTCAATCATTGGTGGGAGCCTATCAGGAAGACCCTGTCACGATRGACATCATCCGCAAACTTCAGGCAAAAGGCCACCGAAAGTGAGTTYGTGATRGTGGATGRGCTAATCTATCTTGATAAGCCCGGAGTAAAGAGATTGGTAGTTCCATCTAGTGAACAGTTGCGTAGTTTATTTTTAGGCGAATGTCATGACGCAACTAGGCACTTTGGCTACAAGAAGACGAGTGCTAACTTAGTACAACGATTTTGGTGGCCCAGAATGTTAGATGACGCAAAGAAGTATGTTGAGACCTGTCAGGTCTGTCAGCGGGACAAGCCACGAACTCAANCACCGCTTGGGTTATTGAAGCCTTTACCTATTCCTGATGGTTCAGGATTGAGTGTTTCCATGGATTTCATGGACACTCTTGTGACCAGCAAGAGTGGTAAGAGGCACATTTTCGTCATCATTGACTGATTCACCAAGTACGCTAGACTAATACCAATGCCAGAGACAGCCAGGACATAATACRTCATYAAGTTGTTCAAGGACAAGGGACTTTGGTTTACCAAAGACCATCATTAGTGACCGAGACGTCCGATTCACAAGTGAGCTGTGGAAGAAGACTGCGGAACAGATGGGCAGTCAACTTCAAATGACTTCAGGGAATCATCCCGAAGCCAACGAACAGGCCGAACAAATGAATAGAGTTGTACAGCACTTGCTGAGGCATTACATCAAGCCCAGCCAGGATGACTGGGATGAGCAGTTACCTCTCATCGCCAGCCTGTACAACAATGCTATACATAGTAGTACCGGCGTTAGTCCTAACCAGCTGCACTTAGGGTGGAAACCTAGATCAGTATTAGACTTCCTCCTACCTGAAAACCGACCTGTTGCAACTCCAGGCACACTCGAATACGGTGTGCAATATGAGAAGTTGCTGCAAGAGGTTGTTGAACATATGAAGAAGCTTAGCAAGCCATGATTGCTTCTGAGAATCAACATCGCAGACAGTCCACATTCCAGGTAGGGGAACGTGTCTGGGTCAAGGCTAGTGAGTTAGGACAGGAGTTCGGAATATCTCGCAAACTAATGCCGCACCATGTAACGATGATGATGATGCATGTTCAGGACTGCATAGCAACATTGATTGTTCGGATCAATGGTATCTAAGTCTTTCGTTGTGTTATCTTGTACTTTGTATTGAAGAGGTCGGTTCTTGTTCTGGTCTGCACGTTACAGTATGCAACACACACACTTACACACACACATGCGCACATACACGCGTGATACTGACCCCACATACCAAACCTTGGGATCAGAACAAAAATGAGTTCGACTCTAATTCGGCTTTGTGTAGCACACGGAAAGTTCAGGGGGCGGGACGTATATGCACACCCTTCTCATACTTGCACGTTGAAATGACGTTGGCGTTCCGAACCGGTACAGAGGAAATGACGGTGCCATGTATTTGAGGAAGTCCCCCACACCGCCTACCCGACTCACCCTTCATCGAGGTAAGTGCTTGTCTTCTTTATTCCTCTTCTCCCACACACGGTGTGTTTCTCCTTCTCCTTTCTCCCTCTCTACTTTGTATTTTCCTTCTTCTCCTGCGACTTATGCAAGGAAAATAAGCAACAGCAAGATGACAATTCCAGATTACACCATCACATTGAAAGCCAGATAGTCACACCATGTCCAGAGAGTAGCATTGCACCAATAATACACCAATGGAGGTTCGTAGTACTGAAAACCAATGTCATGGAGAGCATACTCTCTCCTCATCAAATACAAGAGTCCAGTCCCTTCACTCTCTCACTTAGCGCTCAGCGCCCAGCCTACTCCTAACACAGCTACTACAGCCTACCAATTGACAATGCAACTGTTGACATCAGCAGCAATCCAAAGTACTTGAAGATGTCGCCCATGCAGGCCATCGCCAATACAAGGTAAGTGCCCTCACATCATCATCATCATCATCCTTCACCTATCCCCTGTCTTTACTCCCACGTTTGTCCTCTCTTGCACCCGAAGACCACCCCTGCGCCTCACTGTAGACCAAGCCTACCAGCTATGGTGGCTGGGCTATGGCGCTGCCCTCAGCAGCGCCCTTCTTCCCTGCACGACCGCACGTGCTGCACCTCGCCTCTCAGCGCCAGCCAGCAGCCGCGAGCTCTTGCTCCAGCAGCGCTGCCGCTAGCATGCGAGTGCCTGAATGCCTCTGCCAGGGGAGAGCTCTTTCCTTTATGGAAAGAGTTGGCATGCCTCGCGCATACTGGCTGCACTGGCCTCGGCCCAAAAGCTTCCGGAAGGCCCCAGGAGGCTGCCTGTGTACAACAGCTACTGGGTTGTTGGGCCTCATTCGGATGGGCGTCCAACTGTCTCTATACGAGGCTGCGAATCATGCCCAGGGCCTGCCTTCTTTGGAAAAGCCCGGAGGGCCGTGGAAATGTCTTTG